TATCAAACTAGGTAATATAGTTCTTTGAATTACAATGTAGAAAATATTAGGGAAACTATGCGATATCCACTATGACAGTGGCGTTGCTGATGCCCATTGAGTGTTCAATCGAAAACAATATGTGGTAATTTAGAAAAGAAGTTATGCAAGGTATGCTATTCTGTATCGTAGCGGACATATAACGAGGAGAAAATCTTCGAAAAGCAGAGATTAGACCGCGCGCGACTGTTAAAAGAAAATATGAAGACTCGGGAAAATAGTCGATATTCTAATGTGGAGGGTTTTAATGCTGCTGTCGTTCGATTTTGCATGCAGGCGCGTTAGAAATACAATGCATATAGAATTACAAAGCTACCTTTACAGTAGACATTCGCACGGATAAGATAGAGTCAAGATAGTGTGGGCTTATTTTTGAAGCAGATATGAGGCGCGTATGAAAGTTCATAGTCACGAAGGACTCCATTGTATAGAGTTCTGTTAACCTCGAAAAGTGCACACTTCATAACATGTATGAGAAATTATGTTTAAGAAAGTGATGTCCATAATAACATATTCTTTAGAAGCTGTTCCTTAATATATATTTGGACCTTTGCCTAGAAATTCAACTTGATCCTATACTATACATCAACAAGAAAACTTGTTGATGCTGATGTATCTAATATCAATATGAGCGACAATCCCGCTCTTTTATAAGCAGACGACAATCTAGATTTCGGTTACGAAGTTCGTATTTTGAAAAATCCTAGATCATTATAGTTCTAGAGTTGACCTATATTGTGCCACAGCGCTTTGAAAAGTGTGGGATAGAGTATTCCACTTTCTTGATCGGTTCTATAGTGCATGGGCCACTTTTTTAAGGACAGCTCCATTGGCTTTGTAGCATTTTTTTTAAAGTAATGATAGTAAAATTCATTCAGGGTGCGATGCGCTATTCATACTCATTAAAGAACATATAGACCCAAGTCAACTCTTATTGTAGACAAAACTGCACACCAGTCGAATGGCAACCTGTACGAATTACGAATACATAGATGAGGAGTCCATTGACGTTCGTTTGATATGTAGCATTTGCAGCAGGCCTTTGATAGATCCTGTTTCAACTCCCTGCAAACCACGCAAACACAAATTCTGTTATTTGTGCATCAGAAGATGGCTGGATAGCAAGTCTTCATGCCCGTCATGTCGCACAGAAGTAACCGTAAACGATTTAAAGTCAGTGAACGACGGAACTTTATTGGACATGCTCGATGAACTTCAAGTCGAATGTACAGCATGTGGACAAGCAGGGCTGGAGAGGGGAAGCTTCAATGATCACGCCATTAAATTATGTCCAAAGACCAAAATATCCTGTTCATCTGCAGATATAGGGTGTCGATGGAAAGGATCACGGAATCGGCTCCAAGAACATTTGATTAACTGTACTTTTCAACCACTGCAATCTGCTATTACTCCATCCATCGGCAAAAATCATCAACTGAAAAATAAGCTGGCTCGTAAAAAAGTTCAAAAATTGTTCAGTGTGAAAGCGAGAATGAAGAAATAAATGAACGAGTGAAGGAACAAGATGTCCAACTTATCAATGAGCGTCTTCGGATTCAACAGCTCGAAGAACACATAAAGCAACAGGGCACGCAATTAAAAAGACAGCAAAGTAAGATTGAGCAATTCAACAAACAGATGAAGAAAGAAGATGCTCAAAGTCGAGATTTCGTAAACAATGCGGCAGGTGAGAAAATTGATGTTACGCATAGGCGCTAGAGACTATCAGTAAAGCTGGTTTACAAATATTTGTAATCTATGAAGCTTTGAATTTTGGTACCTAGTTCAAAAGTGCAAGAGAGGCTAAGTTGGATTGGCCATATGCCTTTGTATGGAAATAGTCATGTCCGTATCCACACCAATACCTACACCCTTTTGAGGAGTCTCAATCACACCTTTAGTTATTGTGGGCTTCTTTTCCCATCCGATTATAAGGAATACACACAGTTTACCTCTGATACATTCGTACATTGATATCTCTTACTTTTCGTTATGCAAGACTTGCACAGTTCCACAGTTATCAGCACATAATTCTAAGCTTTAGCGGTTTCAGTCCTAGCTCCATAAAGGAGAAACTGGAAAACTCCGGTACAGTTTCTTTGTAGGTTCCATTTTTTGGGAGCTACCAGATTCTAGCCAAGGTTAGGATCCTTTCTCCTATAGTTCACTCCAGAGATCCGAGACTCGCCTATACTTGCAATGTCATTTTTGATGAATGAATGGTAAATCAATATGGAGACATTAACATTTTATTGCAGATTTGTTTTTTGAGTATCTATTGGCGATGAAACTTAACTAATCGGAAGAATGAATGACTAAACACACATGCATATATGTTTGGGGCAAAATTGGAATTTTAATGCTGCCGGGACAAAATTAGAATTCGACTAGACATAAATTCATACAATGGAAATACATAAAATAAAAATAGAATAACTAATGTCATTAAACAATATCTTTTTTATTTTCATAAACATTTTCCGAATCAAAGTTCTTTATAGTCTATTGCAGCAGTGAAAGGTGTAGGTGTAAGATGACTGAATAAAATAATGAGGAACAAAACAACATCCTAGCGCTTCTGGAGTTCTATCTGTTTCTGGAGATCTGAGAGTTGTACGCCAGAGCTAGGGATGCACCAGTACCAGTATTATACTGGTCTACTGGTCTTCTTTTTCAGAAATAATTATTGTTTAATCAAGTAACTTCCTCTACCATCGGTTTTTTTGTGTATATTTGAGTAAAAAATTTCAGTTTTTGTAACGTCATGTGACAGCATACAATCTAGTTATTTCAACTAGCTGATAACATAAAGTGAACGTTCTTCAGTCCTTCTTATCATTTTCATTTAAGGATCACCAGTATTAGTAAAATACTGGTACTACTGGTCGACCAGTATACTGGTTTACCAGTATTACCAGTACCCAGTATACTGGTACTGGTGTATCCCTAGCCAGAGCATCACATAAGTCTATTTTCTATAAATTAAGAGTTCCGATTCTACCAGAGCGCATAACCCATGAAAGGCGGACAGGTCTCTATCGCTACGATAACTGACACTTAAGTTTTATTTTTATCATTTCACTATACTTTTGAGTAAAACACATGACTCTATGAATTTATCTCTAGTCGAATTCTCATTTTCTTCCAGGAAAATCAGGATTTCAGTGCTGCCCGAAAAAAATCTTGGTCTGCATTGGAATTCTAGTTCTGACCAGGCAAAATTAGAATTATAATGTTGCTCTAAATATATATTTACCTATTCGACCTAGTCCAGCCATTTCATTTTTGTAACTTTGTATTTTGGTTTTTTTCCAACTTATTTATATGTATTAACTGTACTTAATGCGATATAAAGAAATAAAAGATAGTAATTGTTGTAGGTGGCTGAAAAACTACCTAAAAAGATCTTTTTAAGATAGATAATAGGCGAGGCAGCGATATTCAACTCGCCAGCATGACGAGGCGGTGGCGAGTCGCGTGTTTAGCTGACTTGCGGATCTCTGGGACACTCCATACGTACTCAAGATCTTAAATTCCGTATAAGTAACCAAAAATCGTGACCGGAAGACAAGTTACTTACTTCATATAATGAAACAACTGGATTTCTAATGAGACTAACTATAGAAAAGCTTCATCGGCTAGGTAGATAGTTTGTTTTATACACAAAGTTCGATTTGCCAAGAAAATGTCCTCCTTTGATAAGATAGCCGATCACATCCCGAAAACATATTCATCACCACGAATCGTTTTTGGACATTAACTCTGAACAAAATCTAGTTATCGTACAAAGATAATTAGCTTCTTGAGTAAAGATTTATCTGGGCTGTTGTACCGTCTATTGGCACGGACGGCAATCAACGTTGAACCGATATTTCTTTTCAGTTCAGTCAGTTAAACGTCGTTATTAGTCCGGTGCATGGAGTAATCCACTTTCTTTTAATTAACCAGCACTGTAGCCATGAAAAAAACACAAAATAGATCAAATAAGAGTTTGCCATGCATCTTTTGCGGAGGTTCTACTTGGGATCCCTCTTTCCACGCGCAATCTTCTTTGAGTTGGAAGACCAAGTATATCATTGCAACGAGTTGAAAAAAGAGCGACCCACTCGATTTTATCACTGCCTAGTAGGCAGTGCCTACATTACTCCGAAATTAGTTATGTTGTGACGCGAATGCACTGAGTGCTCGAAAAGTATATGATACGCTATTGCATCATAATGGATCTTCTCTAAGATCAATAATGTTCTCGACATCCTGCTGAATGCTTTATTTCAGTGAAGCATCGTACTACACGAGTAGAGCATATTTGGTTGTTGGTGCGGTTGAGTGAAAGTGCGGATGTGGTTGCACAGATGGGATAGTGTGGAAGTGCGCGTCTGAGCGTCGCTATTGCCCTCTTTCAACTCCAACCACCCACGCTCACAAACAAACCTTATTCTTCTGCATTTTTGCCTCTGCTTTCAGATGCCTGTTTATTACTATGAACAGCTTTCTAATAAATGAACACTAAACTAGAAGGACTCCGCTAAAAATAAATGATCCTACCTTAAAGAGGATTTTAGCAGTAATTTGAGACTCTAGAATGTTCAGACCTTATGACAAAAACTCGGTATCATAGATGATTCGACTTCGGTCAAAATCATTAAACAGTTTGTTTGATTCGGTTGGCAAAATAAAATTTTTCATCAGCTCTCTGCAGTTCGACTAAAGCTGACTGTGGTCCTTTCGATTTTAGCTAAAAACACTCTCAACGTATAGAACTCCACTTCGCTACTACAGAAAATTACGTAGGTTTATGTTTCTTCACGACTATAGTACGTAGCGTATTGGGTGATTTTTATTAAATAGCCGCACATCATGCAGTGCAGCTTATCAGGATCACGGCAAACAAAAGACGATTTCTACTTTCGCAATTTTTTGCATATTTTTAAACAAATACGGCGAATTTAGATCTACCATCGATGCGATCAACACCCAAGGAACAAGAAAAGCTAAGAGTGCAAGACCAAAATCAACGATTATCAAAAATGGAAGAAGGAATAAAGGAATTAATCGAAATCGTCAGCAAGGCGCTAGGACAAAGACAACAACAAACGTTACCACCAATCCAAATAAACAACAGACAACAAGCAATACAATGCTACCCACAAACACCAATGCAATCACACCATCCACCACCCCCAATACAACCATACTACCAACCACCACCAATACAATGCTACCAGCAACCACCAATACAACCACACCATCAACTACCACCAATACAACCATACTACCAACCACCGCCAATACAATGCTACCAGCAACCACCAATGCAACCACACCATCAACTACCACCAATACAACCATACTATCAACCACCGCCAGTACAATGCTACACACAACCATACTACCAGCCGCTACCGCAATCACCATGGTACCCACAACCACTAATACAAGTAATACAATACAACTACCAGCCACAACAACATTTCTTTTAGACGATTTTTGTGTCTTGGTGTGTTGGTTTTTAGTTACAGAATCCAACCAGATACACAAAAATTGAATTAATTAAATAAATCAGAACTTATATAATCTAGGTTCTTACGTCGTAAACGAGGATATGAATTGTACGCCAGGAAGCATCTTGGGTGTGATTGGGGGTGTGGTTGAGGGTGTGTGGGTGTGGGTGTGAGTGGTTGTCCATGTGCGTGTGTGGGTTTAGGTATTCGGTTCAAGACCCACACCCACAAGCACGATAAATCTGGTCTATTATCAATGGTTAATTTTGGTCCAAATACAAATGGTTCACAATTTTTCATTAGTTCAATTGCATTACCATCTTTCGATGCTAAATATGTAGAATAACGTGTTTGATTAATTATTTTAATTACTATTTTGATTTTTCTCGAAGTTCGTGCTTGGTGAAGTTATTAGTGGTATGGATGTTAGCAATACGATTATGAATTATGGTATATTTGACTAATATTATTTTAGCAAAGCCTATATTAATAAATTTAGGTACAGTTACAGGGCAACCAAATGTGGACATTATGATTGTTAACTGTGGAATTATTGATAACAATTAAAATTATCTTTTGTTCATTCTTACCGCATGAATGTAATGCTTGAACAAGAAGAAATAAAATTTTTATCAAAAATAAGTTATTTAGATTGATGATGCAGCACGATTTTATTTTATTTTATTTGATATAAATAAATAAAATTTAAAATTTTTAAATAAAATACGATTTATTTAAATTCTAAATGTTTTTTCCTTTTTTCAATATTTCGTCCTTGTTTATACGGACATTTACGAGAATTGTTCTTGTTTTGGTTCATGTTGATGTTGTTTTTCCACGACCTGATGTTTTCTTATCATTTCCATTTCCATTTCCTGATGTTATTAACTTGACTGTTTTAATAGTTGTCACGTTGAATTTGATGTTGATGTTGTTGTTTCATTCGATTTCATATAATTGAGCTTCGATGATTCTCCTTCCTCTTCCTTCTGTTCTCTTTCCATTCTTATAATATATCTCTCTTCTGCCTCTCTTCTATCTCTCTCCTATATATACGTGTGTTATGTATGAACTTGTTACACGCGGGATATGTGAAGAAACGAATAAACATCATTGCCATGAGTGGCTGTAAACTACTCCACCTCTATCCAGTTTGTCTAAATACATCAACTAAACGGAGTCCCATATTTATCGTTACACTTACTAATTGTACTTTGGACTTTTACTCAAGTACAATTACTTAAGCACATTTGTACTGAGTATCAGTACTTAAGTACATTCGAGAAGTACAAGTAAATTTACTTGTACTTCTAAAATATACTTTGTACATACGATTTTTAAGTAAAAAGTACGAAAATACTGAGTAATTGTACTCAGTATCCAGTCTCTGAATTAGCTCATCTAAACAGTACGACTTGACTTAACTTGGTTTTAACTTTTGTACTGATCCCATTGGTTGATTCCGTTTTGTTTTGTCTTGCCTGTTCGTGTGGCCATAAAAGACCGAAAATTAAGCTGAATGTCAAAACAAACAAACAAAAGTATGATCAGTCATCAATGATTCACACACGTGATCGTTAATCATGTACTTTCTGTATGCTTCGGTCTTGGAATATCGCTTCAGTTGTTCAAGTATTGTCCGGAGAGAGATTTTTCAAATAAAAAACGAATAATTTATTTCAATCTAAGTTCTATCGCTATTTAATTTCAGCATCATCGCTATGCTCAAGTCCATTTGATATTTCTTCGCGCGCAAAATGGAAACAAAATGGTCTGACTGTAGCTGGAGGAAATGGATACGGCAATGAAATCAATCAATTATCTAGCCCACGCGGTTTGTATGTTGACGATGATGATCAAACAATTTATGCCACTGATTATATGAATTACCGCATTGTGGAATGGAAATATGGTGTGACGAGTGGCCAAGTTGTTGTTGGTGGAAATGGACAGGGAAATGGTATTCAGTAATTCAGCAATCCATGTCTTGTGATTGTTGATAAAGAGAGAGAGTCTCATCATCTCTGATAACGGAAATAAAAGAGTTGTCCAATGGCCTCGCCGAAATGGTGCCAGTGGAGAAACAATCATTTCAAACGTCACTTGTATTGGTTTGGCCATAGACGCAATGTATTTCTCTATATCGTCGACCAAGGCAGGTATGAAGTAAGACGATATCGAATTGGTGAAAATGAAGGAACAGTGGTTGCAGGTGCCAATGGACAAGGAAATCGTCTCGATCAATTCTCTGTTCCTTCTTATGTATTTGTTGATCGGCATCATTCAATGTATGTATCTGATTGGAAAAATCATCGTGTTATGAAATGGGAATAATGTGCAAAACAAGGCATTGTTGAAGCAGGTGGTCAAGGACAAGGAAATGGTCTTACGTTAGACAGTTGCCGCGTCCTCTAGGAGTCGTTGTCGACCAATTGGACACTGTCTATGTGGCCGATGCAGGGGATTATCGAATAACTCGATGGCCAAAAGGATCTACAGAGGGAAATGTAATTGCTGATGGCAGCGGTTCAGGAGCACAGCCTAATCAGTTCTGTTATCCCTTTGGTTTGTTATTCGATCGACATGGTAATTTATATGTCACCGATTACAGCAATCATCAAGTACAAAAATTTAGCATCGAATAGATTCATACGTATGACTTATTTTTATTCATTTCTGCCAAATAAATTATCGTGAATGAATTTAACATCTACTATATGCGCGCGCAACTGTAAACCATCCAAGTGGTGTTATGACTGAGACAAATCACATACAACCACGGGGCATGATAGTGTGGGCCAAGAGAAAAATTGCGCTTACATCTACTACCCAATTTATTCTGAAAACAAGCCCAACTAGAGTCATATTTTATGTAATACCAACTTTCAGTATAATCAATTCGATGCAGATTTATGCGTTCACTCGGGATGTTTAAAATAATTTTAAAATAAACTTCTATTTAGTTTTGGCAAAAACGTGGGATCGATTTTTCCTTATTTTTGCGACCAAAATAAAAGAAAACAAAGCGTCCATATTCCACGAAATATTCAGATATAGAGACGGTTTCGATGCTCATTTTGAGGTGTTCGCCACATTTGTCGGATGTAACATGACCTGTTCATAGCCTTTGCATTGAAATTTTATGCCATTATGCATAAATAGGATGATTCAATACTAGGACAACAGAAGATATTTTATATGGATCTGTGTATTTTGACAACGAGGACTGTTTTTTCTGTTTGCATTTGTTCAAACTTACGTAACGAAAAAGAGTTTCTATGATAGTACCTGATTAGCAACAAAAGTTCTACCAGCCATGATATATACTCATGAATAAAGTCGAAAGCTCTACAATCTCACTTTCGTTTATATTTTTATTCTCTCGATTGTCTCTACTCCTAATTAATCGCATTTGACGACAAATATTAATAAAAACAATGGTTCCGTTTCTAAAGGCTGCCATAATCTAAATATATTTGTGCTTGCAAATCAAAGTAGAGCAAAGAGGCCCAGGTCGAACAGTCCGGCCTGGAAACGGCCGGTTCCGGGTAGTTCCGTTGATTTTGTGGAAGCAGTATTCCGGTTGGAAATTTTTCGGATTTTTTCCGGTGATTTCCGATCAATTCCTGCCGGAAAGCACCGGAACTTGGCAGGAATTCGCCGGAAAAGTCCGACCGTATTTTTGACCGGAATACTGCTTCCCTGTTCCAGCGATTTCCCGTGTTTTCCTGCAGGATATGGTGACTTTCCCGCATATTCCCTGGAGTATCCTACGGGATCCGGTGGCCGGAATGTTCGACCTGGGGGACAGTAGTGGTATGTATCCTACAAATGATAAAATATATGTAGTGTAGTTCCATTAAAAATACCTTACCTTGATGGTGGGAATGCAAAACGGAATCAAGCAGCAGCCAAATATACAGCCGAAAATCATAAAACCGCCGCACATAAGCCAGACTAGGGTACCATTTTTCTTGCGTATCAGTGTTTTAATCTGCCGGTGACAATCGGGGCAGATGCATTTTGTACTTAAATCACCGTTGATAACCACTGGACTACATGATCTATCCCACAATCACCTTATCATCATTCAATCATTTTTATTAGTACTATCATCCGACGAGATTTCTGAATAAGACCTCCATCACATACTGGTTGCGTTGTAATCGGCTTTTGATGATTATCGTTAGGTTTATGATCTATGTATGAAATAATATCAAGGTCCCGAACATTGAAACTTATGAAAAGATTTTCTTTTATGTTGACTTCATTCATATGTTACACGATTCAAAATGTTTTATCATTGTAAGCAGCATAGAAAGCGTCCGTTGTTCATTTTACAAAACTATCGCGATCAAAACTGAAAATTTTACAATAAATTGAATCTTTAATAACCCAACCTTTATTTTTGAAGCCAAATGATAGTAATATTTGAAGTTTCTCAAATTTCTCTTACTCAATTAGATTCGCTCTATCCAACCATGTATAAATCATTGTAAAAGAAAATCTTGTGGTTAGTTTCAATGTTCGACACCTTAAAGAGTAAGGGAAAAAATGAAATTTTCGTTCGAGTGAAAGTACAATAGGAAGGTATTGGTGCTAAAGTGCTCATATTTCCTTCCTAGGTTGCAAAATAAAAACAAAACAAAGATGCCAGTCATAACATCGTCAAGTTTGTATTTACGCTGGATCATGAATGGTAGTCCCTAAAGTTACCAGGCTGACTCAAGCACTAATATATCGTGCAATTTCCGGGTTCTTCTTTTATCTAATTTCATTTTAAAGATTTGACTTGTTTCACCTCAGTACTCTACCATTGAAGCAAACAGTCTAAAAACAAGCAAACATACTCAACTTGCATGTGTGGAAGTAACAAAATCTATTCAATTTGCCTCAACTTTCAAAAATAGATTGCTTAGCACAAAACACACCTTTAGTCTGAAATCACTTTTGAGTTGTAGAGTTTTTGTGAGTCACTCAGGAAATGAAATTAGTACTTCGAGTATCTAATTAACTGCGAAAAACTAGGTCTAGTAAAGTTTCATATATAGTTTTGGGCAACCTAGAGTAATACTAGGTTGAAATGATACTTAACAGAAGAATTACTTTTAGTTTCAATATGTTCTTTAACTAACATACTTGTCAACGGCATGCTCGGTGCAACAGCTATCTGACGATTCATCCGAGTCATATTTTTCGATTCGGTGGGAACTAGATTTTTTCCGGTAATAAAGTTGATTTGTTTCACGAGTTCTTCCATTCTTGATGAAAAATTTTCCGTTGTAACATTGCGAAAATCAACTAGTAACGATCCAGCAGTGATGAAACCTGTAAAGAACAATCCGATAGAAATTGTGCTAATTCTTTTGAGTGTTTTTAAGTGCTTGGTGCACTCCTCCTCCTTCTCCGATCTACCATAATTTACTCTCCGATGTCCCATCTTCCAATAGTAATTTGTTAAACTATATTTAAACGGCAAGTCAAACAAACAACGTGCCTAACTTTGAATATCCTGAGAATCACTACTTGACTCATTATCTTTACACAAAAATTGGAAATGAATAAACTCTACAACTCTAATGCGAACTCGACTGAGTTCGCGATCCATGTGTAAGGACTGCTGAATAGAGAGAATGCTGCTACTACCTAGCCAATCGGAAGGTTTCCATGAACTTTGAACTCGACAAAGAACGATGGAAACTTTTGAATCGCGAGCGAACTGTAGTTCTTGTTGACAATTAGTTGAAGCTTGATATTTGGCTGTGAGAAAACAAACAATCACCTCAGCCCCTTGTACACCTTCGGCCATGCTAAACAGGAAAATAACGAGCTATAGTCTAATTATGATGGTTAGATATTTACCATTCATAAACATTTGCTTTCATACCGCCATTAATATCCATCCAAACTTTCATATGCATGTTTTCTGTAAGATAGTTGTAGACATCAGTTACTAGCTTCTGATCGTCCCATTGATAGGAGAGCATCACATGTTTGCTAGCCATCAGTGCGTAACAAAGAATATTTTCTTTGTCGCTTTGTAGTAAACGTTCTTTGAACTGACAGGTTATTACTGGTACGATGATGTCGTCGCTCTTTTGTTTGATGTGAAACGAAGGAACGATTTTTTCACTCTTACTCTTATCTCAATTGTTTTCACCAAAACAACATTTTCTCCACACTACATCACATGTTCGTGACATCTACTATGATTTCGTCAAAATTAGAGAGAGAGAGAGAAGTTGATGTGAAGCACGTTTGGCCACTGTTGACAATCGTGTCATCTCTCATATTATCTGTACGCCTGCGCATGCCATTTTATTTGACTTTGATTCTGTGAAAATCGATTAAACATGATAGTCATGAATTTTTGATCGAGGCGCTTTCTCACCAGGATCATTGCATGCAAGTTGGATGACAGACATGCAATGGCCTTCTATTACCATTAAAGTTCATGACGGATGTTCATATATGGAATGCTAACATTCCTGTTTGTCAGCGACCCTTTTCACAATGAACTCTACTGATTCAGGAAATTTTCTCGAATGTGTAGTCTGGAATATCTGAGAGCGCTGCTTGTGAAGTATATGAGGTCGGTAGTAATGATGAATCGATTAAAATATAACTGGTGTGGGTGTGGGTGGGTGTTAGTACGGTGCCTGTCCTTGCATTATCTGAATCAGCACTCATAACCTCATCTTGTACTGTTTCAGTAGTTCGGTGATCAACCTATTTTTCGCTTCCTTTATGAAATTGTTACACGTTTTTTTCTCATTGCTATATTACCACATCTTTTTTTATTTTGTTTCTTTCAGTTTTCTGTGTGCTATTTTCTTTATTGTGTGGTTACCTGTGTAGTTTCGTGAACAGATGAAGTCGTCCACATGTAAAGGGTGAATATTGTTAGGTTCAGTTATGGATCGTAACTTTATTTCTAAATAATATAATCTAAGCTTTTACAAAAAAGAGGTAACAGTAAGAAGAACAGTTGAATAGATATTTTCAGCAAAAGAAAAAAGTAACAAGAGTAGAAAAGGAAAATAACATGAGGGAAAACAGCTCACAGTTAACACGGAAAAAATACAACTCATCAACACTAGGAAAAGTTAACAACAACCCAGTTACCCGGGTATATCCAATCATCCTCTCTCTCTCTCTCTCTCTCTCTCTCTTCTTTCTCTAGATTATCTTTTATTGGACAAAGCACAAGTAGATAGTTATTAGGACGAAGAATCGTCCATCTATATTCATCATATAAATGATGATCCTGGCAAATATGTTAGGTAATGGCGCTATTGGTTATCATTTCCTCTCTCTTTGTTATCATATCTATCTATTGGTCAAGAGATCTAAGTGAAGATATATTGGGAAAAAATTAAGGGAAGGAAAATGTTGAATAAAAGTAGAATGGTTAATGTTATAGACTAACAGTTGGTATTGTACCTTTCGTATCAATTGGAACACCTAATAAATTCCAATAGTCACGTTCTACTTTAGCTGGAAAACTAGGCGGATCAAACCAATCGCTAATCTAAAATATTAATATTTTATCTTTTTTAGTTTTACCACCAGATGCATTATTATATAATTCAAACATGACTTGAGTTTCACGTTCATCATTAACATTAAATGCTATGATAGCAACATCTTCTGCGTAAGCTGATAATTTATTATTAACTTTATCTCTATTAAGAATAGATCTTACGATCGATGGAAGTTGACTTCCTGGTGGGAGAACACCTGGTATACGAACATTTTGTCTTATATTATGCAATAATGATTCAATGCATATAATAAATAAGCCACCCGATAATGGACAACCTTGTCGTTTACCTGATTTTAAATGATGCATTCAAATACAATAACTTGATCCAATTTATAAAGTTAGGATCACAGGTTTTTCCATGATCCCATTGTATAGTAGCAATAGGATCTCGATATTTTGAATAATATTCATTAAAGACAATGGTCTGTAATTCTTCAATGATCGATTATTATTATTATCATCCTTTTCAATAATGTAAGTAAAGCATTCAAAAAGCCTTCATAGCAATGTCCTTTTAATTTTACGGTGTTTATCCTGCGAACATAGTATTCACCAATTATAGGAGAAAACTTTTTCGATATCTCAACTGTAATACCATCTGTACCAGGAGATTGACCAATTGGCAAAGATTTTAAAGTATCATTACATTCGGTAAGTGCGATATCACATTCAAGTTTATCACTATCAACTTTGTTTATGGATGAAATATCATCAAATAATTTGTCCCAACAACTTCTTTCAATTGGTTTAATATCATATAATTGTTCATAGAAGTTTGTTGCTGCCTCAATCGTATCTATGTTGGAGTCGACACCGCCTTTCACTGGGATGATCAAGAAAGGTAATTCTGAATTTATTTGATTTTGCATGCGAAATCTGTGCCTTCGTCAAAATACTACGTGATTTTACATCTTGTTCTTGTTGACCGAGTACATGTTGGAGATTTTTTCTTCTAAAATTCTATAAATCTCTTTACGAATTATATCTAATTGGATCATATCATTTTCGGTTGGATTTGTTGCCCGAAATCTATATTCTCGTTGTAATTTTCGTAATTCAATCGACATTCATCATTATAATACCTCTCCTCGTCTGTAAGAGAAAAATGAGGCTTGTCTTAAAATCATTCCACCATTCAGTTGAATCGAATCATGATCCGATAAACCCACAGGTGAGTAATTTATTTCGGAGATGCGGGTGCGATTATTCTCATCGTCGACATCCGCATCACACACATGCCCATCCAAGAGTTATTTGAATTATTTTAGTAAGTCTAATGGAAATATGTGAACTTCACACTTTAGCCCCCAGGAAGCTACATTAATAAGCTTTTCTATTCAGTTTCACAAAGCAATAATCAAACATGTAACGATTATTATTCATTGTTTATACCAGAAATAAACGAACCATATGTATGCTTTAGTTAAAAAAATATTTTATAATGTGTTTAATAATTTTAGTTATTTTGGTTAATAGCAGGACAAGTTGCTGGACAAATCAAAATGTATTATGGCGAACATTTTATATTAATGAATTTGGTTTTTTAATAATTGATATCGTATAAGACTTATTTCAGCAAATTAATCGATGCTTAGTTAGTACGAAAATGGAACATGATTTGGCGAGTAGATAGTTTGCTGTGGGTATGGGGCAGATGTGGAACTGGTGTGAATTTCCGAATATTGGTACCGGTTCCATCTCTAATGTGGGTGGCAATGAGCAGTAGAAATAAAACCATCAACACCCATAACTTACAAAAAAGAGTGCACATCTTCGCTGTTTTTTAAACTTATTCCAAATTAAGTGCAATGCTTCGATTCTTATTTAAAAAGACATTTCAAAAGCTCTGAAAAAATTTCAAAGCCAAAAAGTAACAAAAAAATAATACACAAAAACAATTACTTATTTAATTATTTATTTATTTAAATCTAGTATTTACTGATCAGCGCATCTATTTTTGCTTTATAACGCATTGTTAATTCGTCTAACGGGTGGTGCTAAAGTTTTTGGACAAAATGTTCGTTGATTTTCTAACCACTTGCGAGAGTCAGTCGAATTTTTAAAACACTGTGTTAGGATTAGTACTTTGTGCTCTCTCAGAATCTGTGGTTAAAATTTTTGTCGGGCATTCAGAGTAGAAATTGTGCTTAAATTTTTGAAAGGCCCGAAAATGGCGTTTGGACAACTCTCAACCCCAAAAATGTAATCCAAGATTGATGCAAAAGATTATTGTGCATGCTGCAAAGTATACGACAAAGATCTCCTTATAAAACTATGTTCTAATAAAATGTTGCCTTTGAGACTTCTAAGAAAAGTAAGAGTCCTACTAACAGATTCAATTATATCTCCAGAGCTTATTCGCTTTTCACATGTTAGAACTTGTTCCATAATTTCTGTAAAATTAGCTGGAGGCAATCAATTGTAAGTTCTTTTTGTAAGAGACTATCTTACTATTTATAGTGTCGAAAACAGACAGCAGATAATATTCAATAAGGCGCTTACCACTTGGGTGAACTTACACAACCTATGTATTGATTAAAACAAAAACTCCAAGCTTCGACGCGGCCTTGCACAAAAACCTGGGACCAGGTTATGCTTGCTGTCTTTAAGTAGCAGATAAGAGAACGTTGAGACAGAAAAACCAAAAATATCATGTAATCAATCTCACACCGGGCACGATCGAGTATTATGTCTCTAGAGTCGTTATTATACATAGTTTTGTCCAAAGCCTGTTTCTGAGCCTTTCAAAAATGTAGGCACAATTTCTACTCTAAATGTCCGATAAAAGTTTTGAACACAGATTCTAAGAGTGTACAACATGCTAATTCTAACACAATGCTTTAGAAATTCGACTGACTCTCGCAGGTGGTCAGAAAATCAACGAACATTTTGTCCAGAAACTTTCGCACCACCCGTTATTCATTTAAATCATACCCACTCCCCAGCCCACCCACCATTTAAAGAATACTGTTGCTAAAATTTTATGTGAATTACTCTTTTTATCTATATTCAATTTATATGACTGACTTTTACCGATTCAAATTGATACTTTCTACGTAGCAAGTCAAACAATTGAGTAGTTACAGAAGAAAATAAAAATAGGTCGTAGTTTAAATATTATCTTTATTGTGACTTGCTACCTTTTTTGTCAAGTCGTGGACGCGTTACTCTTTGCTTATATGCAGTATCTTCATAGATATGAATGAAGTTTTTCTTGGAAAAAAGGGGTGCACATATAAGCAAAGAAAATGAAATGTCCGAGGGTCAACTTTGTTTGAAGTTTATCAGTCACCAATAAGTACTGATAGTATTTTTAAACGTTTCCACAGTGGTAACCGACTTAATGAAAAGAAAACAGCTGATGGAGTCGAGCATTAGTTTATAGCCATCCATCTTTAAGGACTCATTTAACTGATATTGCAATTTCTATGAATCATCCATTCCATCCTGAATTTTGTCATGAACGGCAAGGTGCTGTTGATAATATGGATTATCGGAAAGAAATCAGTTCATGGAGAGCAAATTCAATCAATGAAGTGATTTATTATATTAAGAAATTATCCATGGACAAGAACTTGATTGATCGTGCATGGATAGTCTTTTATTGGGTTTCACAAAATATAAAATATGATGTGATATCTTACCTTAGTGGATTTATACGTCATCAAACCGCGGAGGATATTTTCCGTCATAAACGAGGTGTTTGTGATGCATATGCTACTATTTTCAAAGCACTCTGTGATGGTGTACAGTTAGAATGTGAAAAAATAAGTGGTTTTGCGAAGGGATACGATTATATTCCAAAGCAATCAACATTCACCACAGCTAATCATGCATGGAATGTGATACGGCTTAATAGTCACTGATATTTCATTGATTCAACATGAGGTGCTGGTCACCTAGATAAATATAGACGGTATAAGAAACAACTGGATCCTCACTATTTCCTTACGGAACCTAAGCATATGATTTACAGTCATTTACCTGAAAATCCAAGATGGCAATTACTATCAACTACCATTTCCATGCCACAGTTTACTATGTTACCAGGTGTAAGTTCAACTTTTTTTAATCTAAAACTTATAATATTATCTCCCTGTAATACAAACATGGTTCCATTTGATACAAATCGTTCTCTGGTCGAGGTTTTAATTCGCACTCTGTCTGATGTCTATCTTTCATGCTCTGTAGACCATGATAACACTTCTGGTTTAGCTCAATACGATGTTGATCGAAAATTATGGTATTGTTTATTTCGACCACGATCCAGTGGCTATCAAGCACTTGACATTTATGCTCGTAAAGGACGACCCACAGGATTTTCTGAAGGAGCAATCGTATTAGGACTTAATATGCCAAAGATAATTCAATTTCAAAAGTTCCCATATACTTATGATGCATTTACTAGCTATAAATGTCAAATATTTGAACCGCTAACTGGAAAATTAAAAAGAGTTACTAAAGTGACCATTCATTGTCGCATACCAGGCGCTGACTATGTTTGTTTATCATATGATGGTACTTTATCTTCAAACAAATATAATCTCGCCGATGATATTTTTAAAGAAGAAATCACTGTACCTAAACGAGAGATTACAATTTATGCTAAATTCCCTAAAGATCAAGAATCTAATCACGTTGAAGGATTATTTAAATATACAATCGAGCGACAATTTTATTTATTTTAAAAAGCCATTTAAATAAATTTAGAAAAACTGCAGGGTTTGGGTTTGGGTCTGGGTTTGCGTACAAATAATCAATTAACTCCAATTCAAAGAATATAAAGTCGTCGATATTTAGCTATCATGTCGCGTTTTGACTCGGCTATGAGTATCTTCAGTTGCCTTCTAATACTGTATAAGACGAAATCCAAAGAACAGAATAGAAGGAAACAACTCCTACAACCACATTCATACTCTCACCAATTGATATCATCTCAATCAAAGTTATGAAGTATTTTCTTCGGTGTAGAAACATCAAGAACAATTTTTATCTGATTATTGATTTGGGTGTGGGCTTACGGAAAGAGAAACAATTCATACACACCCGGCGTAAGGCCCTCCTTTGAGTTGAGGGAATAGAAAAACGATATGTATTCTTTCATCAATAGTTTTTTAAGTCACGATGATTCGCTAGACACAATAAAATATCTATTTCTAAATAAATATAGAGATTGATTTTTATAAAACTATGATATAAATGTGATTGAAACGAAATAAATGGTCACCGGAGGGACATAACAGTAACTAACACGCTAGACAATGTAAAATTGAGTATTTCTTAATGACGCACTTAACACCCCAGATTCGTTGAACTGTATATTTATTCTAGTAGATAGCAATATGAAAACGATCATCACGACAAAAATTTTGTGTTTTCAAATCAATTTTTGATGCGAGTCAATATAGTCAAGAGATTTAAATGCAGCCATATGTAAATCAATGAGAACATCCCCGAGTATTCTGTATATAAGCAATTCCAAAAGATGTACTGAGCGACACTACCCACACTGTAAATAAAAACCGTATAATAATATACCCTTAAAGGGTTTATGATACGTTGCACTTTCATAAACCCTTCAAAGGGTATACTACTTTTGTCCCATACCCCTAAAAGGGTGTATTACTTTTGTTCCATACCCAAAAAGGGTTTATTACAATTCTCATTCAGAC